GTCCGCCGTCGGCCCCTTCCACCAGGCGGAAGAGCGCCGCCATGAGCGAGCTCTTACCCGACCCCGTGCGCCCGCATATGCCCACCTTTTCCCCTCCAACGACCTCAAACGACACATCCGTCAAGACCAAATCCAAGTTGGGACGGTATCGCATTGAGAAGGATTTGAACTCAATTGATCCCACTGATGGCCACGTCTTTGGCGGGGCTACTAGAACCGCCGAAGCATTGACAGAGTCGCCTTCAGTGTCCAACGAGTTGTAATGCTCCAGCCGTTCCACGCACGTCATGATGTTTTCAATCATGGAGGATGTCATGGTCATTCTTGATAGAAACGATGGCATTTGGGCCGCGTACGTCAGAGCCAGCCCCGCGGCGGTGATGCCGATGCTCGCTTTGGACACGACCGTGATGAACGACACGCCGGCGAGGATGCCCGCAGAGAGCCAGTCAAGCCGCATCTGCAGCCACCTTGACGAGATGCGGTAGATCATAAAGTAGCTCTGGTTGTGGTCGAGTATGGTGCGGCTCTTGGTAGCAAACTCGTCGGTCATGCCAAAGGCGCGGATGGTGGAGAGGCCATCGATGGTTTCTGAGATGAGGTTGATCACGGGGGTGCGGGAGATGCTCTCGAGGCGCTTGAGCTCGGACGATGTGAGCAGAAAGAACACTTGCACCTTGTGGAACAAGTACACGAGTGGAACGTACACGAGCAAGATAAACGGTGACGTGGCAGCACACACTACGATCACGGCGGCGATTTGAAACCCAAATTGGAGAAAGAGGACCCCAAAGAACGGCAGGATGCTGTCGACTTGATCTAAATCGCTGGAGAATCGATTGAGGATACGACCGACTGGCGTGATGTCGAAGAACGTCGTCACAGGCGCGTGAATCACCTTGCGGAACAGCTTGGCATGCAGCGCCTTGGAGCACAACACGCACAGAAACAACACGTACACACTGCGCCCCCACACAAGCGCCATCGCCACGAGGGCTAGCACGACGTATACGACGACGGATGTGACATCGTTCCCCGGGTGGGTGGACCAGAACCCCATGAACCAATCCGTGGCCACCACTGCCGTCTGCGATATCGTAAACGCCACGACGATGCTCACGGCCACGAACGCCCCGTTCCACCCCGTGGACCGCAAGTACGTCAGGTACAGACCAGACGACACGCCGCCCATCTGCCTGTCTTCTTTCTGCACCAGAACCCCGCCGCCGCCGCCGCTTTTCGAGTCGCCTGCTTTGGCCTGCTTCTCCTCGTCTGCCTTGACAACAACACCACCACCACCACTCGCGCCTTCTTCTGGCCAGTCAGCCTCCATCACAAGCGTCGAAGGGTCTTCCGACACGTCTGTAAAGCTCACGAGATGCGGAAACCCTTGCTTTATCGAGTCAAACGTTCCATCCCCGACGATCATGCCGTCTTCCATGACGAGAATGCGATCGGCATGGGGCAAGAAGTGGTAGTGGCTGTTGAGTA